TCGGACTGAGTAGGCAATTGAGAAGCAGAGTCCTTTCTCGACATACAAAAGCCAAACTCTATAAGTCACTCATAATTCCCGTCCTGCTATATGGTGCAGAGGCTTGGACGATGTCAACTACGGATGAGTTGACGTTGCGAGTTTTCGAGAGAAAAGTTCTGCGAAAGATTTATGGTCCTTTGCGCGTTGGCCACGGCGAATATCGCATCCGATGGATCGATGAGCTGTACGAGATATACGACGACATTGACATATGTAGTCCAGCGAATTAAAAGACAGCGGCTACGCTGGCTAGGTCATGTTGTCCGGATGGACGAAAACACTCCAACTCTGAAAGTATTCGACGCAGTACCCGCCGGGGGAAGCAGAGTAAGAGGAAGACTTCCACTTCGTTGGAAGGACCAAGTGGAGAAGGACCTGTCTTCACTTGAAATATCTAATTGGCGCCACGTAGCGACAAAAAGAAACGACTTTGGCGCGGTTGTTAACTCGGCTATAATCGCGTAAGCGATGACTACGCCAATCAAGAAGAAGAAGAAGTCCTACTTTAAATTAAAACAAACTTATTTGATAACATGTAATATATATCGATGAAATTTTCTTAATTAGAATAGGTACATATTAATATATTTATTAAATTTTTCTTCAAAATTGCTATCAAATGCTATCTCAAAAATTATACTGTTAACATGGGAGGGATCTACACGCGATAATACCCAGTTCACTTGTAGGTTAGCAGTTAAATAATCAACCGCCAACTTGCGGTCTTAACGACCTTACCGACTCCTGGACTGGACTTTGGCTCTTAAATGGATTATGATTACGAATTAATGTTTTGCATTTCGGTTTGAATCGTGAACTAGAAGCTGTGCCTATAGAATTTTGAAGAAGAGAAGAGAGAGAGGAAATTTGAATACAAGTCGGAGAGGTAAGTCACTTTTCGAATTCATTATAGATACAGAACTTTTTATATGAAATTCAATAGCACCTCTGATCTGCGCAGTACGCCCGTCTCGAAAAATTCATAGGAATTTCAGAGAAAACAATTCAGGAAATACATTGCAGAAAGCCCAGACTAGTCCTTTCAGATGCACCCGAAGAGAAATCCTTACCTTCTCCTTACACAGTGGATAGGGGCGTCGAAGTCTTCAGCACTGCCATAAACCCAAGCAAGACCGAACTAGTTTCATTCAGTAGAAAGTTTAAGTGGCAAAAGGTGGGAACTCTCACTAAAGATAGTTCTCTGGTTCTATGAAACCTATCTTAAGCTTAAAATTTTCTAAATAATTTTTGTATGGTGGAAGGCTCTGGGAAAGAATACTTTCGCAAAAAAGTGCTAGTTTGCAAGATAAATCAGTATTTATGGCGCGGTACGAACCTCAGCAGCTATGGCGATTAACGCTTTGCTCCAGTTTTAGATGACTAGACCACGACAGCGTCTTCCAAGCGGATGCGGSTGCTATGAAAAATGCAGCAGACCTACTGCTCCGGAGCACAGCCTGCTTCAGCAACCTTAGCCATTAAACCGTAAGAGGTTCTCTTTTGCCCTCTGTGACCCTTTTCTAATTAGTGCTCTAAAGTGGACAACTCATTATCGGTTCATCTAAAAACATTTCGCCAGTACATGACTAAATCTCGTTATTGGGAAAAGGAAAAAAAAATAAAACTTGAATTTTTGGAAGACTTTGAAAAAACCTAATTTTAGGCAAAAATTTAGTTTTGTATTGCCTCGAAAAAAGTTATTTGTAATAAAACGTCCTTTGCCCAATGACTATAAGTATAATTTTATTTTATGGATTTACTGCGAACCGCTACACTGATGGACATCTTGGTGGTATTTCCGCAGGCTCTATTGATTAGAATTTTACTCGGACCAATTTGACAATTTATTTATTATTTATTTTATATTGTATTAATTAACATTTTCTGAATATATCAAGCTAAACTGTCTGAAACTAGCATCAAGTAATCGGGAGTTCGACGATGGTTTGTTTGATGATAGGAGTTATTTAGTCTTGTCCTCGTTCACTACCAGACTATTTTGCTTCGCTTACTGATTAAGCCTCGAGAAGTTCTTAACGGCAGTAATATTGAGGCCAATGGTATCAATATCATCGGCGAACTCCAGCAGCTATACACTCTTAGAAAAGACTGTGCCTTCTTGATTCAGCTCTGCAGCTCGTTTTATTTTCTCCAGCAGTAATTGAATATAGGGCGTCGCCTCGACTGAAACGTCATTTCGTATTCCTTCCTGATTCTGACAGAGCTTTTGGTATTGCTCACCATCAGTTTACACAGCCGTATTAGTTTTACGGGGATACTAAATTCAGACATGGTGGCATTATGCTCTTTTGCGGTTTTGAAATCGACGAAGAGGTGGTGTGTGTCGATTCTCTTTACACGAATTTTTTCTAAGAGTTGTTGCGAGTACACTTAAATTCCATCGTTGGGCATACTTTCGTCCAAACACATTTTACAAAGAAGCTGATGCATGCTCCTTATCAGCTCTTCGCCGCCGTGTTTGAATAGCTAAAAAATGTATTTCAACCCAATTGCCCAAAGAACAAATTTAAGTTGCTACCCTTGTCCAAAACCGCTAACGAGCGACTTGTGTCTATTAGGACTTCTACTTCGGAAGTTACTAAAATCATAAAAGATATACTTAAATACGAAAAAGGCATCTGGACACGATAATATTACTCCAGAAATGATAATTGAGTTACGAAATATTGCTATAAAAGTGCTCTTCTTGCTCTTTAATACAATTACTGGTTTCGGATACTATCCAATTTCGTGGAAAAAGTCGCAGATCATAATGATAGATAAACCTAACACAGCCGCCTTCCTACAGCCCAATAAATCTCTTGCTTTGTATTTATAAAATATTTGATAAAGTATTACTATCAAAGATGGCTCTTTTCCTCCATGATAATAATATAATAGGAGTACACACACCAGTTCGTTTTTCGTGCTAAACCTGACACAAAAGATCGAGTCAATAGAATTACTAATGAAAGAATGAAAGCATTTGAGCACAGGGGGTACTGTTCAGCAATATTTCAAAACGTAGTTCAGGCGTTTGATAAGGTGTGGCATGAAGGCCTTTTATTTAAGGTTAAACAAATTCCACCTTTAGAATTGTATAAAATATTAGCGTCTTATTTAAATAATAGACAATTTATGGTGAAAGTGGGACATTTTATATCTGATGAAGCCGAAGGTCCTGGCAGCCAGTGCTCCTTTGTTCGTGTAAAAAATAATTGTATTATTTTTTTTCACATTTATAAATAAATAAATATATCTGATGAACTACAGATAAGGGCTGTACCACAGGGCAGTGTTTTAGGCCCAACTCTATACATCATATATACAGGAGATCTCTAACAGCTAACAATGTATTAACTTCAATTTTTGCGGATGACACAGCTATAGTGAGCCGTAATAATTACCACATTTTCAATTCAAGAAAATTAGAGGAGCATTTAAGTTCTGTTGAAGAATGGCTAGCGAACTGGCGTATAAGTGTGAATGAACCGAAGTGTAAGCATTGATAGAAAATTATGTATATGATTTTAAGGAGGCTTATCCCAAGATTAAATTGTAATCTTCGGGCATGTGGTTTTTCCGACCATATTCTACAAAGGAGCTGATGCATGCTCCATATCAGCTCTTCGTTGCCGTATATGAAGAGCTTGGCCGGCAATCCATTGGCTCCCGTAACTTTGTTGTTTTCAGACGTGTAATTGCTATTCAAACTTCTTCATGTTCGGGGAATGGAAGATTCGGTCCATTGAGGTGCGAAGTTTGCTGTATTTTGGCTGCACCAAGATAGTGGTTCGAGTCGATGTTATGATCTCGGAGCGTACGCATGGCTAAACTACTGGAGATGTTTTTTCCGTATTTCAGAATTCTGATTGACCTAGTTGGCTCTTCGATCCGAAAACAGCCAGGAAGCTTGATGAATTACAGGTAACCATATTTCGGACACCGGCAGCGTCGATCAGCTTAAATCGATTTGGTGATGTTTCATCATGGCGGCTGAATTTACCGATCGTTGTGCCAAAAATATCTTCTGTGCCCAMCCTGGCCTTAATGTGCCAAGCACGATTTTGAGGACATTAACCAGCTTGGTATCGGCACCTTCCCTATTAAGGGACCGGTCATTCCAGATCATTGCAGCCTTGCCATTTTCCCATCTTCTCTTGAAATGAAGGCAATATTGGGATCGAGTTAGTTTCAATTCTATATAACAACTTTTGTTAGATCTGAAAATCTATTGTAGTGGGTGGAAACAGGAAATTACTATGTTTCATTGAATAAACTTTCTTGCCGTCCACTTATTCTATCTGTCTAATAGCAAATGTAACAATAAATTTTGTGACTGACTTGGCGTTGTTCTGAGGGCTTCGTTATTGGGCACCAAACTAGTATACCCTATGTACAATACCAACTCTGTTTTGCTACGATTTACGTTTGGTCCATACGATACAGTCCAACGGTTTATGTCATTCAATATTGCTTTTATAAGGTTAGCGAGTGTTAACTCTAACTAAAGATCCCGACTGTCAGCRTACCCTCAGCACACATGTACCAAATTTTTTCCAGGTCCACTAATATTTTATCCGTTGTTAAGGTCAATAGAAGCGGACATTTCTCGCCTTATTGAGTTGTAGGTTGCCAGCGTTGAAATTATTGATCTACTCATGTGCATGTGTTTAATAAATTCAAATCGGCCGTATGTATGTGTACATTTACTTAATAGACTTTGCCGAACTACATAATTCATCGTTTTATACAGCAATGGTCAATATGGGACCACCAAACGTTTATCGATATCTACTTTTACACCATTTGACAGACGCAACTCATATGATTGACCTCCAGTGTCTACGTTTCTACAACGGTAAGATGGGTAACCATCTATATTGGTAATGGTATCAGCTGTACATGGTTTTGGAAAACGTTTAATACATTTTCCATTATCCATGCATGGTGACATTATATTTAAAGTACCACATGGCCCATGAATCATGTTAGTAGTCACAATATCAAATAATTCTTGATCAACATTCGGATTGGGAATTTCCGCTGAAATAATATGGTCGATTTCTTCTGGGCGCACTTTATCTGCTAACCAAATCAAAATATACACATGTGACAATCCTCGTTTTTGCCATTCTATAGAATAAAGCCAGCAACGTGTTTCGCCAAATACTGAGTGATGTGTAATTAAATTCATTAAAGATTTTAATTTTTGTTTGAACGCGCTTGCAGTGATATCATGGCGATGCATCGACGTTTGTCTGGTAACAAAAAATTTTTTATTTCATCCCAGTTTGGATTACATGTAAATGTGAAGCAAAGATCTGGTGGACCGTAAGTACGTACATAAGTCATGGCGTCTTGAATATATTCTTGCATATGGCGCGGGCTACCAGTATATGATGATGAAAGAATATATGCGGTGCCGATATGTTATTTCTTCCATCTACATACGTTACCAATAATGGCATCACGCAAATGAACATACTCCTCAGAACGAAGTCTTGCTTGATTAAACTTAACGTATCGTAATCTCTCACTTTCAGTTTTCGCATACATATCGACAACTTACTGATGAAATAGCGGACAGCATCGGAGAATGTTATTATCTTCATTAGCACAAATCATCAACCGTTTGAATTAATTGACAGCCTGATATTTGTATACTTCATTATGAACAATTTATGTTGCTCCGAAAGAGGTCATTTGGAAGCAAGAATTAAAAATAACTTTGATTGAGATGTGTTTCCAGATAATAGCGTTTTTAAAGGTTCTGGTGGCGGACTTAGTGRTGGCAGAGAAATTTTTCCAGATGTGCAACATAAACCGGCCGATTCAACTTTGTGTTTACAAGTAAGACAATATTGACATTCATTGTCCATACTACCAATCGTAATTAGCGATTTTGATGAATAGTCTACTTCAGGATCATATTGAAAAGCAAGACGATTGAATGATGTGCGTGTCAATGCTCGACGATTTTAGTACCGCCTCACGTTGGCTCAATGTATTAGCACGAAGACGTTGATTGCGTTGCTCTGAATTCTCATTTGCACGTGAGTTTGCTATTTGTTCTCTTACATTGGCATTAGTTGTTAAGTGCTCTTCTACTATTCTGTTCAATCGGTGGTTCCGGACGACTTGCGCATTATAAGAACGTCGACCAATGTGTTTTGCTCTTCCACGAAGACGGGGCATTTATTTGTAAAAATAATATATACAATGAATCTATATGTACTTGTAACAGTAACAAATTCCAAAATAAATAGTTTTGAGAAGAAAGTACAAAAAGTAACAAATGTGTCCAGCCGCACTGTCCTTTATGAATCTTTATCCAGGTATGAATTCTCGACAGGAGGTCTTGAAAATTTTATTTTATCATTAGCGAAATGTCGTCGGGTAGGTAGCTGATGTAGCCCACGTTTTGAGCTCTTGAACTCCCTCAATCTTTTATGTTGAAAATACAAAAAAGATAAAGATCCTGTTTTTTTACAATTGTATATCTCAAAAAAATAAGATAATCATTTTTTACAAATGTATTTCTGGGAAAAATAAGAATTCATATTTTTGGACTACTATATATGAATGGTGGCATAAATTTTATACACCAATTAAAATAATAAATTTAAAATGAGCAATGATATAGTATTCCCAACCCAATCTGCATACTTTTTCTGTAAATTAACAATATTAAATTAAATATTAATTTTTTGGAAAAATTTCATTTTGAAAATGTACTTTATTTTTATAATATAACAAAACCGAATTGTTACTCGCGCTTCTAAATTCCATATTACCGAATTAAAAATGCCGTAGGCATATGTGCAAATGGGATACGTTGCCTCTTTGAAATTTTCATAGAAATGAAAACTGCGCTGTTAAACTGCTGAAGTGACAGCTTCTAGCTTACGATACATGGCAAACTATGTATTCTATAAAAATTAATCAAAAAGCATTTCGTGCGCTAAGAAAGTATTGGTTTTTGGGGTAAAAATATTATTGAATTTGGGCTGTGCATTAGTGAAATCAATCGAGTCCAATCGATTGTCAGCCTAGTGGATTGCATATTAAGAAATAGTTCTCAACCGTTGAAAGACAAAAAAAAAATCGGCTGGCAAGGTTATGGCAGCAGTCCTTCGGGATGCCCGTGGTATATTATTCATCGAATGATAAATGAGTCAGTTTAAATTCATTGCACTGTGTATTTGATTGCAGTTCTATTCTACCATTCACGATATTTAGCAATTTTATCCTTTTTCAGGAAGGATCAGTTTGAAATTGTACGCATATATGTACTTCATCGTTCCCATTTAAATGTTGCATTGCTCTGTGCAATGCTTCGAAAAGATTTCTGTATATCTCAAATTTTAAAAGACCTTTTTATCAACACTCCAGTTATGCCGCTATTTTTTTATGTCAGATCTTTTGCAATTTTAAATTGCCTGTCAAGATACGCTCTTCAGTAGTTAGCAGATATGCAAAAATGTTATAGCTACCCAAAAATGCATTGAATCACCCAATTTATTACTTAAGAATGAACAACTCTGTCCACATTATGAAAACTTGTTTACAGATATCGCCTTTTATTTTGCAGCGTTTTGTTTATTGCACGTTTACGCCAATTTATGTGTGGAACACAATGCTAGCGACAGAGTACAGCAGCACGACAGTGAACTGAAAATTACGTTGTGAATCCTACTACATGAACGTTTGTGAGAAGGCAGCAACATAACAATGGTCGGCATGTACACAAAACCACTCAGTTGTCCATTTTGCATGTACACAATTTCGTTGTGGCCGTACGAATTCCTTGCACTTCAATGAAATTTTAATATTTTGTCCAAAGTGATATTTTTAAGCAAAAAATAAGTAAATAGGTATATTTATTTGGTTTAAATCGTCAATTGTTATTATAAATGATGTAACAGAGCTATTTTATGCTTTTATTTGTAAAATAACGTCAGGTTTGTTTGAGCTTTGAGTAATTTTACATTTTACATATTAGTGGTATCACAACTCTACCTCATCTCTCCATCTTCCATTCTACTGTCAACTCTACTGTCCTTCTACTGCCGTTGGCAAATATAGGATTACATTGAAGTTAGCGAGAACGACAACTGTCGGTCTGCAGTCGTGTAGTCGTGCAGCTGTCAAAATAGGTCCGTCCATAAGAACGTGTGTATTTTAATGTTTGACCGATGTCGTTTGCAGTCTGTCGCAAGCATTGTATTCCACACATTAAGGTTTGAATATTGGATATTGCGATGGTAGCGCAATCTATCGAATTCAATGTAAAATATTCCAAAGTAGCAATTAATTACAAATGAAAAATTAATTTTAAAATTCCATTTTCCAGTGGATCAAATTGTGAATTTAAACCATTCTCCTTAAACACACACAAAAATCATAAAATTCATAAAAATCGGTACAGCAGTTCATTTACAAACACACGGTCAGAGAATTTCTATATATAAAGACTAGCTGACCCCGCAGCCGTTGTCCTGCGCGAATTATGTGTTTTGAAAGCAAGTTGAATTTATCATTTCATTTGTTTTTTTGTTCAATGTAATGTTGCTTGATAAATCACATTTTTTGGTTTCTGTTTCGGTGTACAAAAAAGATGGTTTTCAAACTCGTGAGCACGCCACGTAGTCTGACCGTGTGAAAAACATAGCACTTCCAAACTTGGCTAACCAAGTTGTGTCCTGTTGAACGTCACCTCAAGTACAATTTTCACTGGAAGCATAATACGTTTAAACTGAAATGGCAAATCGTTAGAACTCAAAGGAATTCATAGAATCAAGCATTCTGCCCCTTTGTATTCGATAGCGATAGGTTACTTCAAAATAACCCCATGTCAAGTAGCAATAAATAATATGCTGCAATACAAACAAACATATACACATACACATATATTTAGTTATATAAGTTATAGTTTTAATATTTGTATATAAGCAAGGAATACACAAAGTAAAAACCAGAATGAATGTATTCTCCCTTGATATCACTCTATTATTGCCCCCCACCAGCGGTAAGGATTGTTAGATACTGTATTTAGGAATTAACATTTGGTCCTATCGAGCCTAAAATAAAAAAGAGCTCAGCCAAATTTAAAAAAGCCCTGATATTATAAAAAAATACAGGCAAATAAARATAAGTAAGCCCTGTTATTAATATAAATACAGGCAAAATGAAATTGTAAGACGAGTGTATATTCCCGCATATTGATTAAATAAAAATATTTGTAAGACGGGTGTATATTCCCGCATTAAACCCGATCGCATAAGCCGTTTTAGCAGAGACTGAACGCATTGATCTAACTGCTATCCAAGAGATATTCAGCGGCTGTGAGTCGAGGCACAGCAAGGTCAACTAGGCGACCAAATCAAATACCTCCAACGATTTCTTTGGAGAAAAACAAGCAGTTCATCAATAAATAGGAGAAGTATTGCGAAAAAGTTCTCGAAATAGGTATAAACAGAAAAAAAATTCTGGATGCCCAGACAGATTTAGCCGAAGTGTTATACACATCCAACACTATTTCAGGAAAAGCATTAAAGAAAACAAAAATTGAAGAAAATATTAAAATTCTTGAAAAGTACCAAAAAGAACTCGATACTAACCACGAAAAGCTAATGGCAGATGGTATAGGAGATGAAGACTACTTCAAGAAGAGTCTGTATAATAACACTATGATTAAAATCGAAAGAGGCAATCAATGCATTAAAGATAAGCATTGTAAAAGACAAACCTCTAGTCGAATTTGATCAGCAAATTGAAGCAGATCAAATACGATGCAATAATCAGGATCGAAAGATTTCCATATTCATGAGGAAAATTGAAAACCTGAGAAGAAAAATGGAAGATCTAAGCATGGAATTAGTGACCGACAACGATCAAATAAAGGGCTTAGGCTTTTTATTCATAGACATCCAAAATCTAATGTAGAAATTGAACACATATTCGAAAAAATATATGACGAATATTACGAAGAACTTCAGAATTTAAAAAAGAAATTAAAAAAAGAAGAGCATAACATTTCTTATCGCCCTAACTTGGATTTAGAAAAATTAAGAATTCGAATATTTTATGGCGATATAAAAGAATGGGCAAATTTTTATAACGTGTTTCAAGAAATGGTACACAATAACGAGCAGTTGCCGAGCGCAGAAAAAATGCTACGTCTTCGTCTCTGCTTAAAAGGCGAAGCTGCGCGATTAATACAGCACCTACAAATTTCAACAAAAAATTATGAAGCTGCATGGAGTCTGCTAAAACAAAGATA